GAGAGACCTGGAGAGAGAGCCAAGAGTCCAAATAAATTTAGAAAATGTTCATGTTATCCCCATGTCACTAAATTGGTGGTATCTTTTCTGATCTTACAAGTAAAGTAATTTCTAACACTTTAGCAGTGGACCTCAAAGTGTAGCCTAGATCAGCACACACACCACCTGGGGACCATCAGGGATGCAGATTCTTGGCCCTACCTTCTCCTTCAGGGAGGGTTGGGTTGTAGCCATCCTTCTCTCATGGTTTTAGGTAGCACTGCATGAGCTTTACAATGGCTCTGAGAGGCCCTGCTGGGGAGAAATCCCTGTAGTTCTCCCTCTGACAGTCTTCCAGCTCTATATGGCCACATGATACTGTTGTGGCATGAGGTCGGCTAAGTCTCCCAGGAATAGGCTTCGGGGAATGAGAAAGAATACGGGCTGGGAGTCTGGAAAACCCTGGTTTGCATCACCGTTCAGACCCAGTAGTCTGGGCAGGCACAACCTTGTCGCAGCATTGGGGGTTGTGAGCTTTGTATCTGTGCTGAGTTTGAACCTGAGTTCAGAGCAACACTGACCAAGTTGTGGTGCTGACCACCATTGCACTGAGCATTCTGATGGCAAGCACTCACCAGGTGTTACCAATACTGGTCAGGCATGCTTTACGTGTCTTCTTAATGCTCTTTATCACCCTTCCCCACCCTCATCACCATAAAGCTCTTTGATCTGGAGATAGCTGGCCAAATCCAACAATTTCTTCCACCTACCTGCACTCTCAAGTTAAATGCCTTATTTCCTGTAAAGTTTATTGCCTTGCAATCAGGCTTGCTGCCTGCTGCCTGGCCCTGCTAACTACTCAGTGCTTCCTTTTTATGAGAACGAGAGGAACACAAACTCAGGACAGTCAGGACACACTTGTAGCTGCTCACACGATGAGGTGGAGCATCAGCACTCCAGCCCACACGCCACTGGGGTCACACAGTTTAAAGGCTGGTGGGCTATCTAGCTCCCTGCATCGATATCCACTTTCCTGCCTCTAGATTTAAATAAGAGGCTCCAGTTATGCTAAACAAGGTAACAACACAGGCCTGGACACAGCGGAGCCTGGGAAAGTAACCTATTGTCTCTGAATCATAGATCTTCACCTGTAAGTGGATTTGGTAAAATTCACCTTACCAGGCAACAGTCTTTGTGAATTAAACAAAGACTCTGACAGTGTGAACATGGTGTTTGGCATACAGCAAACACTTAATCAGCGTGGAAATGGAATCTGCCCATCCTCCTAGGTAGAGTGGCCATCCACATTGTCCCGAATTATCAGGGTCCATTTTGGTTCAACCATTCACTGATCACATAGCTACTACCTGGGTGCTGACTACCTCTATCTGTGGCTCCTGCTGCAGATACTGAGCTGAATGAGAATTCAGCAGCTGCGTGACAAATTCACTAATTATACAATTAGTTATTGAGTTAACATTGCGGCTATGGCACGGAAGAAGTTTGTATTCCAGTGCCAACCCAAGCCAGCCCAATCAGGGCTTTCCTCCACGTGCCCCACTTATTTTCTGGCTGGGGTTCTACCCTCTACTGGGTGGATATTGTTGTTCAATACCTCTGAAGTGTGAGAAATATATCCCAAGGTTAATGTAAGCAAGTGCTAAGATTTTAGGCCACCTTCTCCCCAGGGTCACACATTCTCAGATCAGCATCTCTCTTGGGAAGGGCAAGTTGGAAAGTCACAACTAGTCATGGGATTTCCTTCTAAAAATTGGGCTTCTCCGGAATTTCTACTTTAAGAAAAGGGAGCTATCTGAGGCCAGATAGAGAACAGGATTGGGGAGGGGAAGTGGAGCCCAGTTTATGAAATATGGTAACTAGGTCTAATCTTTTAAGTCCTCGGGATGTTTATCCCAAGAAATGAATCTTTTAAATATCACCATTGCATCAACAGAAAACATTTCTCTTTTGATCTTAGAATCTGAAGCTGACGGTGTGAAGCACTAGTTCCTGGGGGGCAGTCCCAGGCTGCTGGCAAGATACAGCTACAGACAGAAGACACATGGGGAGCCCAGGACCAGCCCTCTCGTGTGGTAGCAGCAGCATTCTTGGGCTGACTCTTCCCTGGGTTGTCTAGCTCATTGGTGAGGCAAGTGGTTCATGGAAGGACCCATACATTGGGTCTTTTGTCTCCAAATGTCAAACAGCAGCCAATGAGGCCACCTGTCTGATGGGTGGGGAGAACCAAAGGTAGAAGGAGCCTGAGAGCTGCAAATGTGGTGAGCATGAGCACATACGTACCAGGCTCAGCTAGCCTCGCAAGCAGTGTAAGACACAGCAGTCTGTGGGGCAGAAGTGTCTCCCACTTGTTTGCCTTCCTGGGGCTCAGCTGACAATGCAAACCAACCAGCATTTGAGTGATGAATGGACAGACACGCTGGCTTTCCAGGAACCTCCCCACTGACCTCTCTGGCCTTGAGTACCCCACTCCCCCACATAACACTGTCACTCACACAGGACAATTTTGACTCCTTTGACTGCACCACGTTCTCCCAACCTTAGGTCACTTTTGCACATGTGTACCCCCTTAGTGGGGAGCACATCATCCCCTCAAAGCCTATAGGCATGGATGATCCCTTGCTATTCTTCATGCTGCAGCGAGCCCCTCAGCACCTTCTTAAATCCTGTACTTGACCCCAAATGTGGTTAGATGCCCTTGCTTTGAGCTTGTCTGTGCCCTCCACTGGACTGTGAGCCTTCCAAGGCAGTGACCTTATTTTCCAGGCACAGTGCCTAGCACAGAGTGTGAACAAATACCTGCTGAAGGCACAAGTGCTTGAGTCAGTGAACCCCTTGAGTCAGGGCCTGACCCAAGGCCCTGACAACGCATGCAGCCCTGGACTCAGGCCATTTCAGCCATGCCAGAGACACAGAGGACACTTACGTATTCCACTTCCTTGGCTGGGTCACCGAGGCTGCCATTGGTGGTGGGTGCTGTGGTCGCTGCACCCTCTGGCTTGTCCTGGTTCTTCCCCTCCTCCTTGGGCAAGCCACCCTGTCCTGGCAGGGCCACTTCGCCCACTCCCAGGGCCTCGCTCTTATATTGCTTGACAAATTCTTCCATCGCTTTCAGCTCATTCTCCAAGAGTCCACGGCAGCGGGAGGGGTCCTGGTCGTAGATGGGGAGCTGGTGCATGAGCTGGTGGCGGCGGTAGTAGGCTCCCTCGGTTCCAGTCACTGGCTGCCGCTCCTTGGGGATGAGCTCCATGTACTGCAGGCCCTGGTGGGGAGGGGACAGGCTCACATAGGTGGGGGTCTGAAGCACCCATCTAAGATGCACAACACATGCAGCGTCTTTCAATGTTATTAGCAACCACAACTACTATCATCAATTTTGAGACTTAATGTACTTTTTCTTTCAAATTTCAAAAGCAATACCTACCCACTGTTACAAATAAGAAAACACAGATGAAAAGAAAGAATATAAAGGTAATCAGGCACTTTCTAGCTGTGTATACAAGAGAGGTTGTACATCTTCCTAGATGGTGACAGTGACAGCGCCATGCAAGGCTGTCTCAGAGTTGGTCACATGCACATAGGATGCAAGCTCTTTACTATGTACATGTTATCTCTGATTGGAAAAAACATTTAAATAATTCTGCTTCACTGGCCACAGCAGTGGCTTGATAATGACCTGTGTGTAATCATCACAGTATTTCCTATGTATTAAAACTTATTTGAATGCTGTTTTCTGTGTGTATGTGTAGGAGTGTGTATGTACGTGTATGTGATTTAAAATGAGCCTTCTACCTCTAGGTGCCATTTCTGGATGGTTGTCAGAGCCCATGTTCATGCTGTAGGCAAGAGAAGTCTTCTGTGGCAGTGTTGGGATGGAACCTGGGATCTCACATGCCTGGCAAGTGCTTTGCATTCTCATCCCGAGTACCTGGCTATATCTCTTCTTGCCAACAATCCTTAGTACTATACTACTACTTATCTTCCAAACACTTTGGAAGGCAAGGGAAAGAGAAAGCTGACATTATATTTTTATCACAATATGAAGAAAGATTTTTTGCTTTATTCTCTGACTTATAAGTGTGGCAATTATTCTAAGTCTGCTTTGAGCATCAATGAAAACTTGCTACTTTTCTGATTTTTATTTGGTTGTCTTTCTGTTTTGAAACTGGCCTTAAGCTCATGACCCTCCTGCCTTAGCCTCCCAAGTGCTGAGATTACAGGCATGTTCCACCAAGCCTTCTGGATGGGCTACTTCAGCACCTCTTTTCTGGTATCCTTTGTGGGAAGGTAGCCAGCTGAGAAAACCCTCACCATGTAATGGCCACAGTAAAGCAAAGTGACTGGCTCTTGTGCCACCATGAGACTGTCTTCTCACTAGCTCTACAGATGTGTTTAATTTGTCCTTCCACTCACTGCTTCCTGGGGAATAGCCTTCTCTCATCTTTCCTGTTCTTCAAGCAGCATTGTACACTTTGGCCACGTCCCTTTCCTTATCTTTTTCAGGTACATTAGAGCTCACCCTCTTAATAAGAACATCAATCCCCAGAGGGCGGGCAATGTTCTCTTTTGCTAGTTAGAGTAAAGGCTCTGGACAGTGTGACTAAAGCCACAACTTCTTTGTGCACGGGTCAAATGAGGAGCGTAAAACCCAGATAGGTTGTAGGACTCAGTAATAGATCTCTAGCAGCTAAACCATGCATGTTACTGGTTTTTCTCTCTCCTTTGCTCCCCATTTGTGACTTTTCTGTTTCAACTGACTGCAGCCAGACACACCAGATGTGGACTTCAAAACTGTCTTTCTGTGCTGACATGGTGTGTGATCATACAGTCTCTGTGAATGCAGATTCTCAAGCACCAGCCTCCAGTCAAGATCTCAGCACAGCAGGGGTGTGGCATCCAGGGAACTGCACGCTGACCAAGAGGCAGGGGCTCTGAAGCACAAATTTGGCCCGAGGACATCACCCATGCCACTGCTACGTATAAGTTTTGGAGGTTCCCATCTGTCATTAGGCTGACCCACTGCATTTATGCCTTTAGGGACAAGAAATGCATGAGCTAAACCAGCTGTGAGCCCAGGCAGGGATGTGAGGCAAGGCTAGTGTAGGACCACTCATGGCTTCGGCAGTTTGCAAAACCTAGGGACATTCCGGGAAGAAATGTGGTGAGTCCCATCAACACAAAGAGGCACATAAATCAGCGCATGCTCTGCCCAAAGCTGTAGCCACAGGTTCCTGGCCCAGTTTAAGGTGTGCATCATGGATTTGCTGGCTTTGCCATGTGCGTCTTGTTCCCTTAAGAGCAATATTTTTGCTTCATTTCCCTCATAGGAAATAGTTCTAATTTTTGGCGGAACCGGGGATTGAACTCAGACCCTTGTGCCTGCCAGGGATGCGCTTACTCTACTGAGCCATCTCCCAGGCCCAATAGTTCTAATTTTTAAAAAGTCAACGTAGTTTAAATTTCTTAGAAAAGTGTAGATCAGTATGGGAGTAAAGTAGTTTGTAGTTTATTAACTTTCAAACATTCAAAAGCAACTTCTAAGAGTAGAATGGACAAAATCTCAAGTCCATGTCCCACTTCCACATTGATGCGACCGGTGAACTCACAGACAACTATTCTATTTGGTGTTTTTTTTTTTTTTTTAATAAACAGAGATCCGTCTGAGTTGGGGGGAGGTTAGGGGAGATGCAGGCCTGGGCCACATCTCAGTGTGAGCAGCTGAGCAGTAGACTATTTAGTCCGGACAGCTGATTTCCACTTCTGTACCTACTCCTGACCTTGGCTCCACCACCAGGTTGCAGGACCCTCCCTCATCCTGAGCAGCCACTGCTGTGTTGATGTTTTATGAACCTATGTCTCCTTTGTTGGGACTCAATTTACTTTAGAAATATGGGAATCAACATGGAAATTCACACTAACAATCTTAACAAGCAGCCCCAACTATTGTGTGATTGTAGGCAGTGAGATGCTGCTTTGGACTTCAGTGTACCCCAGAGGTCCATGTGTTCAAGACTTGGTCTCCATAGTAGAGCCACTGGTAGGTGGTGGACCATTTCAAAGGTGGGGCCTGGTGGGAGGAAGTTTGGTCAGAGGTGGGGTGTATTACCAGGGAACAGTGGAACCTCAGGCTCCTCTCACTAGTTAGCCCTTTTTGGTTTCCTCGGCAGGATGAGACAAGCAGCTCTGTACCCTTTTCATCCCCTTGCTGGTTGTTGCCAGGGTCAGTACCCAAGGAAGGAGCTTGAAGTATATATAGGAACTTGAGTGGGCACCAGGCTGGCCAGTATCTCACTAACTCCAAGTACTGGACATAGCTCTGGGCACAGGTTGATTCAGGGCATAAAGGAATAATCGTTTTCCTATAAAACACTTCACTCCCCTGCTTCAGTGGTATTCAGAATGATAGTAATGGCTAACACTAAGATAGTGCTTCCTATGCTTTAATTAAATCAATTCATTTACCTCTCACCTAGGAGGAAGATACTAATGCTACCCCTGGAGAAACTGGCACAGACTGGAGCACAGAGAGGTTAAATGACCACTCCAAGGTCACCCAACTAACATGCAGCAGAGACAGCCTTGAACCCAGCAGCTTGGGTCTCAAGCACTCCTCTGCTGTGTCACTTGGTGCCAGGATCACTGCTTCCCGGGACACATCTGTTCCTCTGGCCTTTGAGGACCACCCATCCTCCATCACTGCTCACCTTTTTATATAAACACTGAGTTAGAGCTCCTGGAGCAGCAGTCCAGCCAGCCAGCCACTTAATGATCTTCACAGTCATAGCTCTGTGCCAGCCCTGAGCATCTGTGTGGATCGGCACCTGGCCAGGACCCAGAAAAGGGAGATTTCCCTATTGCAGCTCAAAACCCCACTGATGCGCTGAGTCGCCACAGTCAAGGGCACTGTGAGCACAGCAATGCCTGGCTGGTCTGGGACTCCTGGCATCTCTTAAGACATACTTACATCTCAAGATGTCCTTCCACACGGCCCTCCAGGCCATCACTGTCCCCAATATGGGTGGGTTTCAGCAGCAGTCTGTGCTTGCTCTGACTCTGAGGAGAATACTCAGGTATTTCCCCTGGAAGTGGAGCAAGGTCAGGCTTCCCAAAGGTCTTCCCAAAGACCAGCGGTCTTCTCAGACCAGCTGGGAAGACTGGGACTTAAGTTTGTTTTAAGGCCCTTTCTGAATTGTCTGGAGTTATGTGGGATATTCATGGTGGAAAGGTTTAGGATTCTCTTTGTGTCAGGAGAGAAATGAAAAGTTGGAAGAGCAAAGCATCAGGCCCAGGGCTGTGTTCCCTGGGCTCAGGGCTCAGCCCAGGCTGAAGCCTTCACTACCTGATTCTCCTTCTGCTGTCAGACAAGGAGGAGCTAAATGGGCTTCATCCATAGGCCACCCCCAGTCAGCAGTGCCCAAGGGCTCTCCCAAGAGACTGGCTCTGATTGATCAGTAGCATCTGCCATGGGTGCAGGCAAAAGGTGCAGTGTGGTGACCCTGATCATGCTGCAATTAAAAGCTCATGGGGAAGTTAGTGGGATGGGAGAGCTGGCTAGTCTCGGAAACATGGCTCACCCAGGCAGTGCAGCTGCAGGGCAGATGTGGGGCTTGCAACAGTCAGGAGGTTTTACGAGCCAGCAGTAATCACCGCCCAGTGATGCCTCCCTGATTAGACCGGGGCGGCAGTTTGGCCTCTTCTCCAGCCCATCCCAGATGCCTACAGTCAGCTCTTTTTATGAGTGCTTAGTTTTCACTGACGTTGTGGAGACCCACTTGATAGTTTCCCCAGACTGGGTGCTGGAATCAGGGGCCACCTTCTAAATCACCTGGTGGGTCACCACTCTGCCCCACCCTCTGCGGCCCAGGCTCAGCCTGCCTGAGCTGTGCAGGGCCACTGAGCTTTCTCTGCTTCCTTACGTGTAAGACAACTCCTACCACATGGGTGGTTGAGCTCACTGATGCTGCAGTACTTAAACTGTGCTTTATGTTTTTTAAAAAGTATAATTTAATTTTTAAAATCCTCTCTTCACACTCTATCTAGGAGGGTTCCCCCATTGTCCCCTTAAGTGATAGCTTAGAAGTGTGCTTGTCACACTCCTAGTGCTGAAGAACCAAGGTGGTTCTGGTCTGTGATCCCCTGCAGAACTGTCTGCACAACAAGATGCAGCTTGTGCCTTCTGAGAGCCCTCATGAGTCTGTAGAGTCCTCATCTCACACACCTGGATTCCACAGCGCCACATACTTTCCCCGGCGTCCACTTGCAGTGTCTGTACTTTCCTCCTCCTGCACAGCAGGGAGCGCTTTGGGGAACAGTTGCAGTCTTCCCACTGCACTTAGTCTCTTGCCGGAGGATAACGCTGGATCTGTATGCCTCCCACGTGCCCTGCTGCTATGCATGGACCTGCAGCGTTCCCCAGATGTCCTCCAATAAAAGTGTTTTTCCCCACAGTGGCACTCTTGGGAGGCAGGGGGACTCTTAAGAATCTTCTGCTCTCTGATGATATGCCCTTAAAGGGGAGTGTGGAATCCTGATCTCTTCCCCTTTTCTCTCTTTGCTTTTACCTGAGGTGTTTTTGTTCTGCTCATTGCCCCTGTTGTAATGTGCTGCCCACCACAGGCTCCAAAGTAACAGCGTCTGAAGGCCATGAACCAGGGCCTACAGCACTATGAGCTAAATAAACCTTCGATTTTCCTAACTTGATTTTCTCAAGTCTTTCAGGAGAGACTTGATTTTCTCAAGTATTTTGGAACAATGATGGAAAACAGAGAAACAAGCCTGTACTGTTCTAGGTGCTAGGATGTCATGATGTGACAGGGGCCTGTAATCCTGCCTTTACATCACTCCAGTGTGAATGAAGATGCATAAGGTAATTACTGCTTGCAATAAAAGCTCCCAAAGAAATGGAAAAAAAGTCGACGTGACAGTGCATGCATGTCATTCCAGCAATGAGGGAGCTGGAAGCAGGAGGACTGCAAGCTCAAGTCCTGGCTGAGCCACTTAGCAAGACTCTGTATCAAACTTAAAAACCAAAAGGCTGAAGGATGTAGCTTAGTAGCAGAGCATTCTGGGTTCAATCCCCATGGCTGCCCCCAAAAGAAATAAATGGAAAGAAAGACCATGTGGGAAGATGTGTAGTATCTATGTTAAATCAGGTTACCAGGGAAGGCCAGCTGACACCTGCCTGCCATAGGTCCTAGCCACTGAGAGCAGGGAAAGAACAGTGCTAGTACAGGGAGTGAGAGCTAGTACAAGTGAGAGCCCCTGAGGAGGACAAAAGTATGGCACGTGTTAGAATGGAGGGAAGAAGTCAGTATGTTGTGCTGTCTTGAATGACAGGGGAGTCACAGGAACCATAGAAGGAGCCTACAGGAAGAGGTCCATCTAGGACTCCACAGGGTCTGCTTCTCTTTCAGGAGAGACTCCATGAAATTCTAGGCTTCCATCTCTAACACTGTGGAGCTTTCTTGTTTTTGTTATCAAATCTCATCATTCTCTAGAAATTACCCAGCTCCTTGCTATTCCGAATGTGACTAGAGCCAGTCACATCAGAGGCACCTGGAAGTCTGTCAGGCATGCTGAGTCCCAGGAGTGCCCTAAACCTACTGGGTGCTCTTGAGCGAGCTCTCCGGATGATCTTTACACACAGTGAGGTCTGAGGAGCTGTAGGCTGGTGCCTTGGCTCATGAAGGTGTCCGCAGGCAGAGCCACCTGGAAAGTCATCCATAATGGTCCCATTGGGTCCTCTGGACTCTGCAGTATGGAGCTCCAGACTCAGCAAGAAGAATAAGCTTGGTTCTCCCTTCTGGTACCCTGAGGCTTCACTTCTAGGAAGGAGAGAGGTCTTTTCTGCTCTCCCAAAGGCTGCTGGAGTGTATTACTTAGGCCCCTCTGTGGGGAAAGAACTATCTCACAGACAGAGAAAAGCACTCTGAATTCTGAGTGATTAAGGATCCCCTGGTCAGCAGTGAAGGGTCCAGAGGAATGGTGAATGTCCCTGTCCCAAACTGGATAACTGAGGCTTGGGGAGTCTTTGCTTCAGTGTTACATGATGCAGGAGCTGAAAGTAAGGCCACCCTAACCATTTTTGTAACTCTTCCCTCTTACCACCTTGCCACTGAAATTCAGGAACCCTTAACACAGCTAATATTTACAAAGGCAAGAAAATAATCCCTGGACTGGAAAAAGCTCTTACCAGTTTCTGGGTGACTCCAGGGGGGGCCCACTCATAGGTGATGGTATCAAAGGTGGGGTCTTTCCCGGTGGCAATGGGGTTTGTCATGATCATTCGGTTCCTCTTGTAAATGCGGATGCCATCCCCACCTTTCACCCGGGCAGTGAGGGTAGAATACTTGGAATCCATCAGCAAGCGGCCAATTTTCCGATCATCTTCAAGGTCAGAGGTTAGGCAGTGGTCTTCCTGGCTGCATTTGCATGACTTGCATATTTTCCTGGGGGTTAGGGAGGGATAGGAACAAGTGAGATGGGCCTCCAGGAGTGAAACACTGCCGGGTCAGCCTGTGTCCCTCCAAAGCAAGCTTACAAATTACCTTTGCTAACTCAGAAAGGCAAGCAGCAGACAGATGATAGCCTGAGACAAAAGACTTTTGTGATCAGGGACTCTGTCTATCAGTCTATCTGTAGGGGATGCATCACATAAACCTTACCTGAGAAGTTTGCATTGCGTCGCAAAGGCTAATTCTTTCTTTACTGAAGCTCTACCTCTACCACTGTAGCTTCTGCAGCCTGGAGCTTGAATCTGGCCCACAGCCTGCTTTTTGTAAATAAACTTTTATTGGAACCCATTCATGCTCATTCATTTACACACCGTATATGGTTGCTTTGGAGCTAGAATGACAGAACTGGTAGTTAACAATCTGGCGCAAAAAGCTTAAAACGTGGCCTTTACCACAAGAAATTTGCTGACACCTATCCTAAATAATTATTAACATTGTCTCCCAAGATTCATAAACCTCTGAACTCCAGCAGCCTTAAATGCTTTAAAATGCACCGAGAAGTGAGAACCCAGTGGGAATTTTCTTCAAGAAATAGTGGAAAGAGCTCAGAGGGAAGGGAGCAAGTTGATAAAAGCCCTCCAGCTGGAGAGATGAATGTCTACTGGGAAAGCTTCCTCAGGAGGCTGGAAAAAGAAACATATCTTGGGGAAAGTTCAAGTTCACTTGAAAGCCTGACTCATCTCTCTGACAATTAAAAGCAAAAAGTGTTTGGCTGCTTTGTGTCATGCTGTTAAGGTTTAGAAATCCAGAGGTCTATAGCGTTAGAGGAAAACGTCCCCGCCCCCTCTGGCCTGTCACCATAGGCCAGCTGTGCTACATCTCAGATCCTCCAGGGCAGCCAGGGCGTGCGACAGAAGGGCTTGTTAACTAAAGTGAGTGGGGTCAAGACCAACCACAGGCAGAGGATGGTCAGGCAAGGGGGGCCTCTGCAGTTGTACTACCACTGCACAGAAGGTAAGTCCCAAAGAGACGGCCTTGGTTTTCTCTCCTACACTTAGGAATACTCAGATCACATATCACGAGTACCAACTATGGAGCTAGCAGAGGCTGCTTGGATGGTCTGCATCAGTGATTCCTCAATCTAGATCACTTCTATCCTAGGATGGAAGTAGCAATATCTGGAGATATTTGTGGTCATCCCAGGAAGGATGGAGGGTGCTCCGAGTATAAGAGAAGAAACTCAAAGCAACCTCTAAGCTTGCTGATAGGACAGATGAATAAAAGAAAAGCAGTTGGGAACTGTAACAGGAAGCAGGCTAAGGCTTGACCGTGACAGATACATGTGGTCTGGGGTGGTTCTGGCCCAAGCAGCCTGGCAGGATGTTAGCAAGTGACACACAGACAAGGGCTCTGCACTTGACAGTCATGAGTGGGGAGGCAGTGGCTAATGAAAGCTGAACACTTCAGCACGAGGCTACTCCTTGTCTTTGGTACACCAATGTGTAGTATGGCATCTCTTAGGCATCTAGAGAACCTTGCCATTAGGTTGGCATTCAGTGAACAGCAATGTGAGAAACATTAAGGCCCCTGATCTCGAGCATTCAAACAACAAAAGATAGACGACCCTAAAGGCGGCCACTGCAGGACAAAAGCAAGAAGTCTTCTTTTCAATCTCCCAGGAAGGGGATACCTGTTCAGAAACCTGGGGCTCTTTATTCATGATCAGTATCCTCTTGCCTCTCTCTTCCATAGAGAAAGACAAAGACATTGCTAGAGGGTGCAGAAGCAGCAGCACCAGAGTAGCAGAAGAGGGAAAAGAAAGGCAGACAGGAAAGCCCAGAGTAGGAGGACCCAGCAGCCCTGACTCAAGCCCTCTGTGTGCTGCCTGCCCTTCTGTCTTCCCTACACCTGCCATATATGAAACTGGATGAGACAACTTCCCTGTGTTCTTGTGGTGAGTGTAGAATTTCAGGATGCTGTTAGAGACTCTGGGAATGCAAAACATTCAAATGGAAAATGCTAACAAATATAAGATGTTCTTGGAGATTGCACCCACCTTAATTCTCCCCTTATTCATACTCTTCATGTTTCCAGACACATTACCAGGACTTTATAAATGAGAAGAACATGCTGCCCACTTGAGCCTATCTTCTTCCAGGGATCTAGATTGCTCAGAACACAGATGCATTCCAAAAGAGCCCCTATAGCATGAGGTGTCCATGGCTGCAACCTTAATTCACAGCCTGGAATTGGATTTTGTGCTTTAATGGTCACTGGAGGGATTTTCCTATTAAACGAGGCTGGCTGATACTACCATAGGCAGCTAAGTTAGACCCAAATTAATATACAGGCAGAGAGGAACTGAACTCTCAAAGAAGGCAATAAAGAGATCGGAATTGTGGCTGGAGGTACATCTGAAGAAGGTCAGGCCTCAAAATAGAGAGGCGGTGGCCAGACTTACCTGCCTTGTAAGCCACACAGTTACTTAGAATTATTCTGTAATTACCAACAGCTGATCCAGGAAGTTCAGCTCGGCATCAGTCACCCAGGCGGGTGGTCAGAACGTCTGAATCCCTCCCTTCCCTGAAATGCCTCAATGTCCCTTGCTCTGTGACCCATTTCCCTATTGGACCAATATTAGATGCACAGCTATACTTGTAATCCTACAGGTTGATTACAGTTTGACCCATGTTGAACCCACACTGGGTAACTGTGGCATTTATATAAATTACTGCTGATAGAGGGCCTTGGAGGCAATCTACTTGGGACCCCTCCTTTCTCTTAGAAACTGCCTCTTAAGAGCTATCTCTCAAACCTTTCTGACTCTTAACTTCCACTGTTCCTCCACTGTTCTTTCATTTTTTTTTTTTCTAGAACCGGGGATTGAACTCAGGCCCTTGTACTTGCCAGGCAAGTGCTTATTCTACTGAGCCATCTTCCAGGCCCTCCACTGTTGAAATTCACTCTCTGATTTTAGGAGACATCAACTCAGCACACCTGACATCGAACAGGTTGGGAGTTGTATGTCTCCTGTATCAGTATGTTGGGCTTTTCAATACCTTTCAAACAACTGATGGTATGAAAACTCAACCATGGGGATCTCCAACAGGGTTTCCCACTAAGGTTCTGTAATGTTCCTGCTTCTACAGGGACTGAATTTAAGTTCCTGTCAGCACTGTTGCAACCAAAGATGACATTTGTTATGTAGGACCTATAACCTGCAGTCTGTATTTCTCAAAGAGAAATTCACTTGCTGTTCAAAGCGTCTGCAAGATGACAGGCTAATGCAGGGCTTAAAATGCTAAGAGATTTCTGCTCCTAGTCATGAATAACAGGGTCAAGAGCTTTCTCCCTTATAAACAACTAGAGAACTAGCCAAAGTATATTAAATGACCATTTTCAGATGTTGACAAATGAGTGGCCTGGGACTGTGTTCCCTGACAAAAGGGGAAATACTTAATGTATCTTGGTGGGTACATTTAGGAAGCATCTTCTCCCTTTCTCATAAAGTTTACAACGAGGCCTCCAGGCTACGTTCAGAGAGCTCAGGAGAAATCAACAGTGTTGGAAACCCTGGCAAAAACATTTAGGACTCAAGGTTTAAATGATAGGTGAGTGGATCTCCTTCAAGGCAGAGGAGCTAAAATCATGCAAATAGAAATACAGAGAATTTTCTAGTGTGTTCTAGTTGTAGAAGTCAATTTGCACTGGATGGGTTAGGTAAACTTGAAGGTCCTTTCTTATCCAGAAGACCATGTGAGCTCCTCTGAGAATAAAGACTTTCAAGAAATGGAGTCAAAGAATAGTCTCCTGCTCTAAAAGCTCAGCATACCATATTTCAGAACAGTGAAGCATGGGATTGTGTTTCTTGCAGATCTGAGTTTAAATCCTACTGTTTAGTAACTGTTTGTTATCCACTCTCAGTATCTTGATCTATAAAATGGAGACACTGTTGTAGGCAACTAAATTAGATAAAAATATTATAGGCAGTCAGACAGGGCCAGGCCCTCAAGGAGACTGCACAGAAGAGAAGATATGTTGTAACTATGAGAGAGATGGATGCTCATGCTGTGGGCCAGACCTAAAGACCAAAGATTGAACAAATGCTGACCTCCCTAAAAATAAATGTCTGGGATTGATCATCACCTTGAGGAAGCCAGGAAGAATCATTAATTCAACCAGCCGGTTATTGGATAAACTCCTGTTCTATATTCATGCCCACTTGCTACATGACTCACTTCCCCATTTAGTTCTGGATTTAATCAATTTTACCTGAGCAATGGTGCTTGTAATCGCATTGGATGACCATAGTTTTGTCTCACCTCATGCCCACCTAAGCGAGTTCCCATGTTCTCCACCTTAGATGTACCTCACTTTATGGTTTTCCTCCATAAAAGTCCCTGGAAGAGACAGCTTCCCTGGGGCAACCTGCTCAGGCCCCCTTTCTTTCCCTCTCTCAGACAGAAGCTTTCTTTCCCCAATAAATATATTCTGCTCTTAACTTCTGTTCCTAAAATTCATTCTTCAGTTTTAGAGAACATGAACTCATCCCAGATACTTTTCAGGTTGGGAGTTTCATTTTCCCTATATTAATACTAACAATCATACTGCTTAGGGTTATTTCTATATAAAGATGTCACTCAGTGCATGTGACATTTTTATATTTGCCATTTCACCGTGCAGCATCTTGGAGAAAACAGTTCTGAACTTTGACCCCCTACCAAGTGCCCAAGGGACATTATGGCATTGACAAAATAAGATCTTTGCTTCAATTCTCCCACAAAGCTTAGGCTCCCTCTCTCAGGGTAGCAAGGACAGTAACATTCCAGGGGATACTGTACACATAGGTGCTAGTGTGAATAATGCCAGGGTATTGTGCCGTGTGGCAGGCTCAGCCTTATTGTCAGACAACTAGGTTATAAAAGAAAGAAAGAAAGAAAAAGAAAAAGAGAAAACCTCTGCAAATCCAGATGGCTCCTATGGCCCTCCTGTGTAAATATGAGTATCATCCTGGGACTTAAACGATTGTGACAAAATGATTTTTCCTTCTATCCCAGGGGTACTCTTAGATCAGGACCCATCCATAGGGGTGACAGTGCAGTGGGGTGAGATCAAGCCCCGTCATTAAATCCAAGGGGAGATGGTGCTACCCAAAGACAGCCCTGACCATCTACACCTTCCCACAGTAAACCTGGCTGTGCCCAGCTGGTGGCTTCCTCTTTGAGGTGGTCTCAGAGCTGCACTCCCCTACACCCTTCTCAATTGCATCCAGCGGGAGAGCTCTCCCTCCAGGGCTGCTACATGTGCATCCTAAGAAGCCCCAGCACAGGAAGGAACATACAGTTTTTCCAGAAAAGACAGCCAAGAAATGAAGGCAGGCAGAGCACTCTTACACACACACACACACACACACACACACACACACACACACACACACGTACTCACCCACACATGCACACACACACACAATCCATTACCTCCATGAATGTGGCTCGAAGCCTGAACAGGTTCCCTTGCATCTCAAGCAAGCCACACTTCTTGCTGACTGCTGCTGGCCCAGGGACATCTGGAAAAGGACAGAAAAGAGGGTGTTTTCCTTTCAAAAGTCTTGGAAGAGAGAATGCTTGACCTCTAATAAAAGACTTTGCATAACAGCAAAGGGACTGTGTGGGGTTCAAAGGACGGGAGATCAATAAGCTATCACTGTTTACCAGGAACAAAGGACTGCCAGAAATGGGGCTAAAGGGGACTTAATGTAGAAGGATGAGTCCTTCCCAATAAAAATGCAACTGGGGCCCTCCTATCCTCCAGGGCAGTCAAAGAATATTGAGGCTGGCAGGGAAGGCTCCACAGTGAGCTTTCTCCTTTCCCCACTCACGCTCTCACTTGTCACAGGAATGGAATCTTTCCTTCTCTTCCTCATTTAGTTCTGATTTATTGATAGCATGCAATTAAGCCAAAGCTACAGGCACAAACAAATGTATATGCTGCCAAATGTTTATGGCTAAAGGAATAACTTAAGAATTTGGCCAACGCACTAAAAATCTCATGAGCATTCAGCAATCTCCTTTGGAAGAACAACACACAGGACAGTTTGATTATTCCTTAACACCCAAAGGTAACTAAAGTGCATTTGGTTGCTCCTACTGTGTTTACTCCCAAACATTTTGCAAACAGGGTCTTCAAATGTGTCTTCCAGGACTGTGCCAAAAATGTAGACCCTTCTTCCCTACCCCAGCCCTTCTGAGTCAGAATCTGCATAACAAAGTTCCTTAGAGATGCATATTACAGTAGCACTGAGGATATGATGGGTCAGTGTGCCCATCTGTGGGCTGAGAAATGCCTAACTCCCCACTGTGGGTGAGGGTACAGAGGATTTAGTTCCAGGACACACATCTATGATGCTCTGATCAGAATCAGGGCACAGTCTACCAGTAATGTAAAGGAATAAGCTCTTCACTCAACAAGTGCACTGAATCACTTCCTGTTTAGTTAGCATCCACTACATACTAGGCACAGGGATATAAGATTAGGTGGACCCTAAAAGAACTCTGTTAAGGCCAGTGAGCAGAGAGTAGGAAACACAAACTCACCTTGGGACTTGGCAGTGAGGGTGAGGGAAGGGAAACTTACTGTGTAAGAGCAAGGCATTGACTTTGGAGACTAACAATCTTGGACTACAAGTTTAGTTTCTTGGTTGTGCGCAGCTTATTGGTTGCATGACCTTTGACAAACTGAACCTCAGTTTCTTTGCCCACCAATGAGTATAGAGATAATATATGCAAAATACTAGACAATATTAGGCATGAAAAGAGCCATTATTTTGGTGGTAGACTTCAGAAGCACTGAAAGGTATTAAAAGAAAACCTATGGAAGTACAGGGGGGACATTTAGAGGAGGGGACCTTGGATTGGGGCTGTATAGGATGGACAGGCAGTAGTGGGAAGAGCAGATGCCTCATAGAAGTACGACAGTAGGTGAGGACCAAAGAGTAGATAGACACAGAGGGTAGGACTCGCTGAGCAGAGCACACTCTTTGGGATATTACTAGTTTACTATTTGCTAATAAGGGGAAATATTAAGTAGAGAAACTTGTAAAGCTATCTTTGTTGCCAGTGTTAGAATTCAAAGAAAGATGTAGAGAGAAACCGTTCTTCACCATAGCTCCCTTCCGCACCCCACACTGTGCCATGATAATGCCCGCCCCACGCCTCTGCTCATTACCACTCTTATACCACATTCCCACAAGCAATGCTGTTCTACTTTACACACTCATGGCTCTTGGGAGCAAGGGCATCACTGCCTTTATTTGGAGAGAAGCATATTTATATGTGCAGCTGCTTGGTACTAAATCCACATTAAACATGAGAATTAAGGCTACTCTCATTACGAACTCATTGTCCTACGCTGGGGTATCTTCATTCACAGGTGAAACGGTTGTCCAAGGCTATTAGCCTAGAATGCTGTTCATTTCCACACCTTCTTGGCATTTTGAATTCTACTAGTTGGAATATAGTGCTCTTTCCACACTTAATATTTGATTGATTCCAAGTTTATTTTGGAAGGTACATAATTTATGAACAAGGCCTCATTGTTGGGGTATTTTGGAAACACCCTGAGGTCTGGCAACAGAAAGCTGTGTAGAGCATTTCGTAAGTGGCGCAGCACCCGGCAAGCCTGAGCGGTGTTATTCCTCTAATGAGAGGCTGATTTAGCTATCATCCTGCAGGGGATTAGACCTGACACTTGGCCCAGAGAGCTGCACTGTCTTTCGTCTGCTGGCTCAGGGTCTGCTTTAGACACAGTGACGTAAAGCAGAACAGGCTGCAGAACATCAGACTGTGGTAGGGCCAGCCTCCCGGTGCCGATGCTGGCATTCATGGGCTGTGAGGCTGAAAGAGAGTCATTTATTCATGCAGCCTAAGTATTTCCCTTATAAAATAAGAACACTGGTGTGGGTCAGGGTTATCCAAGCTGTGTTCTGCAGGACACATGTTTTTCTGAGATGGCGTAAAGTGGTTCATGTTGTGGGCAGGAAGAATGATTATGGCATTACACAGTCATATAAAAATGGTGAGCACTGGGTGTGCAAAGCTCCCCAAACTTCACAGTGCCCCCTGTGCTGGAACCAACAGGAAAGGGGTAGAAGCAGGCAGTTGCTCCAAGGAGGGAGACTGCTGGGGTGCACTGTAGCCCCAGCTTTCCCCTGTCTTCTGCTGGACTGAGTCCAGCAACTAGACTTGCTAGTCTTGGTTTCATGTCCTGTGCCGCAGGGATAAAGGACTCCAAGCTGCTCCATGAAATTGCCATGAGGATCAACCAAGATGCTACACGGAACAGACTAAGCTGGCTGTTAGGCACTGTTTGTCCTACTTGCATTACATCAGTTGGAAGGTGGTTTGAGAGATCTTGCAGTAGAAGTTCTCAAAACACTTTCACCCACTTTAACATTCTAGAGGCTAACAGAGGAACTACTTTCCTAACTGCATATGCCGTAGGTGTTTTGACTCTTCACTTTGCTTCTTGGGTGTAAGTATTGCCTCTCTGACTAGATTTTCTTCCAAAGAAAAAGGAAAAACTTCGACAAACATTCCATATCTTACAATTATTAAGGAAGTTAATCCTAACCTTTACTCTTGAGCAATTCTTTAGACAAAACCATTCCTAAGTAGTATGCTGCCCATCACTTGAAGAACACCAACATGAAAAATCCCACAAAAAGGTTGTATATGGTGAGATTTTTGGACTTATGTGCAAACATGAGAAGCATAGAATTCTTTATCCTATTTTTTAAAATATAATCTAATTTTTAAATGTTTTTTTATCATATTAGGTAGGGACTTAAAGTTCAACATATCAATACTTGATGAAAAATACCTGTTCCTTATTATGCCTAAGATGTTTGAAATGCAGTGAGATAGTGAGGTTAAGATTGATAGCCCAAATCGTTTGATAATAACAATAAGCTTTTCTTCTGGATGGTTAACAACCTAAGTTTGCAGACCAAATTAGAGAAAAAGGAAGGATACAAGGAAAGCCAACATTTTGGCCCTAACCTTCTAAGGTCAATTAAGACTCAGGACATATGAGAACTTGTACTGTAACGTCATGTACCTCGGTAGTGTCTCAAATTTTCTGATCAAGAAGATTATGGGGCCAAAGAGGAAAGTGATCGATGACGTAGAGTGTGCCTAAGGAGAGTCACATGGGGAGAAGACACTCTCTCAGGCTTTCACAGAGAGCACATTGGCCAAGCAATGGCCGTGACTCATCCACATGGCTGCACTGATGAAGGTTCTACAATCTGAGGTACAGGATCTCAGGACAAATCCTGAGGGCATTTCACTGACCTTCTCAGACCAAAAAGCTACAACTCTTGTTGCATAGGTCCTGCTTTACCTTGGTCTTAACCATCCAGTAGAAAAGTATGAAGTCGAAATATAGGAAATAAAGCCATGCTGTTAAGTTGAGCTGTGGGGGACTCAGGTCAATAATTTCTGACATTGCCAGTTAAATATAAGACCCAATGCTATTATAGGCTACTGGACTCTTTTAGAATATTTTGCTGAGTTTACACACCTATAATATTCAATAACGGAACTTAGAAAAAATGGGGTATACCGATGAATGTCCATTTTGTATCTGTGTATTCAAAGAGGTTGGGATGGATATATAGTTGCATTCTCTTAATGAATAGAATGATTTGTTCTAATGGTGTTTGTAAATAGGATCAAAAGTCCGCATCTTGTACAGCAATTAACCACTAAGAAGAATATATGCAGTGTATTATTTGTTGAAACTGTCCTTCCGATTTGATTTGAAACTGTCTCATTGCTATCTGTTTGTCAATAAAACTTTGAAAAAAAAAAAGAAAAAAAAATAAATAAATGTAATAAATAAAAATAAATAAATATTAAAAAAAAAAAAAGAAAAATCCCACAAAAGAAATGGTGTTGGAGGTGTGATCTCACTGGGCCTAGACATCAAAGGAAACACAGAGGCAGGAACAGTTGGCCACAGCTTCCATCCCACGAGTGGAATGGTTTTCACAGCAGCAAAAATCCATAGACAGAAAAAGAAATGATCTTGTAAGGCAGAAATAGATTGGTCCTTCGGGTCCCACTGGCAGCCACCCTCCTGGCTGTCTGCTTAACACAGCCAAGGCTTTGTTCACTGTGGGCCCTCTGTCCAGGAGCCACACAGTCCCTCTGCCTTCAACTCATAGAAAGTGATGATCTGTTTATTGAGAAAGGGAAAATTTCAGCCATGAACAGCTCTAAACAAGACCCTCTGTTTTATAAACAGCGGGCTTCTATTGACAGACAGTATCCCATCTCCCACTGTCTCCCAGTAGCTGAGGACAGAACTGGTTTAGAGGAACCATCATTTAGAAAAAGTTTTTTTTTTTTTTTTTTTAAACTTTTTGCTATTGTTGTTTTTGGCGGTACTGGAAATTGAATTCAGGACCCTGCACTTGCCAGGCAAGTATTTATGCTACTGAGCTATCTCCCCAGCCCAGAAAATGTTTTCTCAGAATGCAGCAGCTAATCTGTCCTTTTTCCTGGG